ATATTAACACACCTTTCAAGTTGTGGTATCTAGTTAGCTACATCACATCATCGTCATATATAAATATGTCCCTAACGAACGTACATTTTTCTGAATATATAATAGTTGGCAGGATGAAATAGGTACGTTTTGCAATTGTTTTAAAATCTATCTTATTAAAACAATGAATCTGTAATTTTCAAGAAATGTAATTTAAACTCAGTGGCGGCGGCGCCGGGAGGGGGCAGAGAGCAGCCGAAAAAAATGTTTGGGGCGTCACCCCCAAATCAACCTGTGTCGTGTCAGCAAAATTTGCCCCTCAAAATGCAGAAAATAGCGTTAAAGAGGGTCTAGATTTCAGATCTCGCCACTCATGCACAATTTCGTGCCGCCGCCTCTGAAAGTATTGAGTAAATGCCAACTGATAATGTTCCAAAAGATAACATTCAGCTGACAAGCCATCATTACACGGGATTTTGATAGTAGTAATGTTAGCGTTATAACAAATGTCCTCACCCAGATAGGGGGTGTCCCGATTACAAAAATGGTTGAGCATTTCAGAAACTATCTGGACTGTTCGCTTAAATGTTTGAATGGAATTTGTAATGATGTGTTTCACTGTTGTTTTATTTTTATTTTATCTGTCTAAAGGCAGAACAAAGTTGTCACAACTCGTAATGATTACATATCGATCGTACCCCTTGCTTCATCATTCTAGGTTTGTTTTGTCTCCTAATATTAATCCTTTTTAGTTTCAAGATTATTTTTTAAGCCTTCAATCGTAGTTTCCAGTTCATGAAGTGTTTTGTTTTTCCTTGTACTTTTGAGTTTGAATACGTCACCGTAAATCGTCTTAATTTATATTTGAGATACTCCCCAAAAAAATCATCAGGTCTGTGTGCCAGACATTTCACATTCCCAGTCCTTGATTTGATTTGTTAGACTTGGGACACAGTATCTGACGGGAAGTTGTCGAATTTCCTGTGAAACGTACCATGTTCTGCCCTACGATTCACTCCTAGTACCGAGTAATACCGAGTGATCTGGACAAATTTACGGTTTGATATCTACTGACTTCACAAAATCCAATAGTCAAGATAAGAAGATAGCATTGTTCTAAAGAAGATTTTTGTCGCCATGTCAAACGTTTGCAGTTTGGATTTTTATCCGCCAAATGTCAATTGCACAATTTGTCATTCACTTTTTCAATTAATTAATAATGTTTATTTTAGATTTCCATCGGTTTATCCAGTGTTGGGTCGGGTAGGCATTGAAATCTCTTCGAATTCGTCGGCGAGGGCGCACTAACTATCACTGAACTTGTCAGGCTGCATTCCGTAACCCAGGATATGTATTGGGGATACAATGGAGGTAAATGGCATTCATGGCGGATACTAAACAATAAAATATTATTAGTAAAATTCGTTAAACGTTTTTTCTTCAAATAGTTTTCTTTGGTTCTGCTAATAAAAATCATGTGCAATGTACCGAATGTATTCAGATTCTTCTTTATCTTCTGAACACAAGTAACAAATCGTGAATTTTAATTGAGATTTCAATATTTATAAACTCAAGCAGACTCTTGCACATAAAAAATATTGAAATTGCGCCATAATGCATACTCGGAAATTGACTGAACCAGCCAAACGCACGATTGGAGCTTAATCCTTGAAAGTGAAGTGAACATTCACAGTATCCGATTCACTTATAAATCTGGCTTTTACCTTATTGCATAAATTGGTGAACGAATAATATAAAAATAAGCTCCTTAAATTATTCTATGACATAAATTTATTATAACACTTTCAACAGACAAATTAACTGTGATTATGAATCTATGGTTGTATATATTACAATTATTTTCTTGCGTCATAGAGTCTTGATACGTGTGGCGCACAGTAAACGTGGACTTACACGTGATTAGGATACAAGGTAGCTCTGTGTACAGGTCTGTGAATGTGGAGGCGCTAATATTCGAAGCCCAATGTAAATATCACCCCTACACATCCATGTACGCAGGGCTAGATACAAGGTACCGTCGGAGTCAGTCTGGTCGGAGTGGTAGGTAAGGTTGTTATAGTTGTATTTGAATAACCCGTGGTATGAAAAGACTCTGCTTGTCTCTGATTTTTAATGGATTGTACCGGATAGTGCCAGCGACACCACAGCATCGTGAATAAGTACACAATTGATCATCCAAATCGTGGGATTTAAGTCCATGCCCTCTACTAAACTACTATGAAATTTTAGTTTAGGCAAAAGGGATATCACACATTTCTCTGGTTGTCTTCGCGGAGTGTTTGTTCGAATTCCATGTACTAGTAAACCAAATTTTTATTTTTACAGCAAGTCTCAGAAGTATTGGGGCAGCCAATTTGCAAACTCGCTAGCGAATTGGCTAACTGCTTGGGTTTTGATTAAACAGTTGGCTTTCGAATCTCG